TATTTATCACCAATAAGAACATAGATTATAACATGGGAAATTAATAATTATAATAAACACATGTCAATCCAAAGAAACAGTGCTCTGCATGAATAATACTACAGATAATGGTATTTAAGGAATACGGAAAGGGTCTTAGCTTGAAGACGATTTCCAAGAAGTCGGTTACGACTCGTCCTCGGAATCTCCTGGACTCATCATGGAACACTGGGAGATGATTAACACGGGAAATGACTGCTCGGAGAATTCTTCACACACGCTGTAAATCAAATTATATTCAGTAGCAACAGATTAAGCTGCTAGACATCTATGTTCAAGAAAATTAAATTAAATAATGAAGGTAAATAATAACCTGTGGTTTTTTATAGTCGCTCTGCGTAACGACAAGCTACCCAGCTATAACCCCCTCCTAGATGGCTTGCCGAAGTTCGCGTCCTAGGTTCAGGCGTCGTTGTAACGAACACGTGGTGTCTAGCCTAGCCTAGATGCGACGCGCTTCACTGGCCGGTCACGTTGGGCTACACGGAATCAAATTTAACAGGTTCCTGGCTGAATGTCAAATTAAATCTCTTGACAATTCAACACGTTGTGTAAAGTGACACTGACACCAGCTAAGTTATTGTCTGCAAAGGTTCTTCACACCTCACAGTGGCGACTTTCATCTGGAGCTCTTGGTGGCGTCTACCCTGGTGGCTTGGGTAATGGCGTCTCTCTCTGAGCGCGTCGCTTCGTGTAGTCGCGTCTCCTCTGCCCCGCTCCGCGTCCCGCGTTTGATACACAAATTATTTACTACGAATATTATCATTTCTCGCAGTTGTGATTGAAATGCTCGGATAAGGATGGGTTTATTATTCAGAGGAGTTAAATATTATTATTTGCCCGTTTTGCGATGGTAAACGAGTAATGGAGATGAATTAAAGTCTCTCCAGGGCATTCACGCGTGACGTTAAATTTATTACCAGATAACAGTTATAACTATAAACGCTCTATTTGGCATTAGTTGGGAATCAGTTTATCTGCAATTAATTATCACACAGAACACCGTTGTTTTATAGAGAATCAAATTCAATTCTCAGACACACTGGATATAGTTGTGTTTATTATAATGGAATCTGACGCAATACTGGCGTCTGGTGACGTAAGAATTCTAGCCTTATTGTACAGATGTTGTTATTAGTACATGTGAACTCTACGTTTGGTTAATTTTAATTACTACAATGATTAGTAGATTTAGTAATAATTAATAATAATACAACAGTGTTGTATTTAGTGTTGGAAATTTCCAACAAGTACCTCTACCACCTCATTTGTAACGTTTAGGAGCTCCGAGCATACAAGGTCTTCCCTAATATACAGACCCACTCCTCCATGTGACCTAATTTTCCTATCACACCTGTATAGGTTATATCCTGGAATCCAGATCTCACTGTCCAACAATTCCCCTGCATGGGTTTCTGTGAAAGCTCCAAATACTGCATTTGACTCCGTGAGGAGGCCATTTATGAACTGTACTTTGTTGTTTGTTCTTGTTTTCAGTCCTTGTATGTTGGCAAAGATGAATGAGGTTACTCTATTAGTGATAGTTTGAATGGGAGACTTTTTCGGCAAGCCCATTATTCATGGACATAATGAGCTTGTTCTGACCAGTACTGATTGTTGTAGGGCAGTTGTCTGTCGTAGTTGTAGTTCCCTTTCGGTGGGTAATTGTATCTGTAATTCTGGAATGCAAGTGGATCTGGCATCCAGTTCCATACACTCTCCATGCTGCTCCTTTTTAATTCTCTGCCGGTCTGGTATAAAAAATTTATAGAGTTTCCTCCAAATTCATTATCCTGCTTGCCACTCTTTATGTAGCGTTCCGTGCCTTTCACGTGAAAGTGTGGGCAGCTGAGGTCATAGCATTTTCTGTCCTCCAGTGAGGTTTGGCACATGTCAGGATGGAAAAACCTAAATATTGATCCAAATCGACACTAACCTTTCCTAAGCATATTTAAACATTTTTTGGGATGTTGGTAACTGCATTCTAATCCTTTCTTATTACCAGCATATCTATGTCTGCATATGCCCTTTGCATAAAATTTGCATAAGTCTGTCCTTCTGTTCTGAATTGCTCTATCAAGAACCATCGTAGTGTCTGTACCTATCGAGCTGTCAGTGCTGTCTGGTACACTTTCTAGTTTACTGTCATCTACATCCTGGCCTACTGAGTCAGAGTTTACAACTTCCTGAGTTTCAGCCTCAGTTTCATCCCTGACTATAGCCTCCGCCCCTTGTATATTAGAATTGTTGTTCCTTTCCCACTCCTTCTGGATGGCTGGTGTGGGATATTTGGGCTTGATTCTGATTAATTAATAATTAAAGTAGTAAATTAAATTACGAAGGACCACCCGCTTTTAAAGTAAAGAGGGAAACTGAGAATTTCAGATCATTAGATAAAATTCTAGAGTAAACCAGTGACTATGGATATGACTAGAAAGTATGATCATAAGAATAATTAATGGGCTGTATTATTAAAGAAACAAACCTCAAACACCTACATTGGGGGGTTATTACTGGAGGTCAGTACGTCCAGGAATCAGTGTGGTTCGTTCACTAATTCAATTAATAATAATCTAATCCTATAAATAATGCTGAATATAATATTATTCATATAAAGAAGGACATGAATATGAGCATAGTAATGAGTTACAGTAAATCACACATTATGTTGAACATTCTGAATGTACCAAATTGCTAGAATATGGAAAAAAAGAAATAAGCCTTAGCTTGTAGTAGGTTCCTTTAGATAACCCTGGAAGTCCTCTCAATCTCCAAGTCTGGTACACTGACGAATGGCACGGTTAACATGGAGAAGACAGCATGAGGAATTCGTCTCTCGAGCTGCAAGATAAATAACTACCAGTAGCAATTGATTTAACTACTCAATTCATATTCAAGATTATTAATATCTACAGATGGAATTCTAATCACCTGTTATTAGGTATTATCTCGCCGCGTGACGCGCAATCACCCCGCTATTATTAAACCTGTAAATGATGCATCAAATAAAAGGTACTTAGCTGTGGGCACTGTATAAGTATTAAGATTGCCGTAATTTCGCATCTCAGGCTCCGGTGAACCTATCCTGGATTGATGCGTTTCAAGCTGGCTGATCACGTGTCGTCAGGAACCAAGTCTAGGGGTCCCTTATTTAACACCAGCACTAGTTGAAGATATTATCTGCAAGGTCGTTCACGCCTCACAGTGGCGGCTTTCATCTGTGGATGGACACACTTGTCCTATTTGCTGGACAATAGCGTATTCTTATGAGTACGGTGAGCGCAAGTTTGCTTCCTTTCGGCTCTGCACGTGTCCACGCACCGACTGAGGATGGCGTCCCCCAACCCACGCCGAGTCGACGTTCACAACACAAATTATTGTCTTGAACATTAATATTTCTCGCATTCGCGCTTGAAACTCTAAAGACTGGACGGGTTTATTATTTAGAGGAACGAAATATTATTATTTAACTATTTAAGAATAGTAAATATATAAGGGAGAGGAATTAATGTCTCCCCATGGCATTCATTAATGACGTTAACACTAAAGCGAGGTAGACGCTATGATTCTAACGCTCTATTCGGCTTTTAGTTAGAGAACAATTCGTCTGCAATCAGTTGTCATACAGAATGCTTTAATTATGGAGAATCGTATTTAATTCTCACACAAATTGAATATAATGTGTTTTACTGTAAAGAAATCTGACGCAATACTGGCGTCAGGTGACGTGAGAATTCTAGCCTAATGCACAGATGAATTATTAGTACATGAGAATTCTACGAGTTGTTAATTTCACTTACTACAATATTAAGTATGGTTAGTAATAAGTAATGAGAATACAACAATGCTGTATTCGATGTTGGAAATATCCAACAGCTGGTAGGCTTCCAATGAATGATGTTTTCCGGTCATGCGTCATGTTATCTAGAAGGTTTTTTAGGATATTCCAAGCTGGCAGGTCATTTTTATACACCCAGAGCAAGTGACCAGCTCTCAGTGCCGTGGTGTTACTCCTGTACAAGCCGAATGGAATCTAGTCTTACAGATATAACATTCAATTCCCGTTACCTTCGTCTTTAAGGAGTTGTTACAGTGGCCACAAATTTGTTTATTTACTCCCATTTTGCCTTGTTTTGTTGTATATATCTATATATTTATAATAATTATATGTATATTGTATATTTGTAACAATATATATGTATATATATTTATATATTTAATATTTATAATATTATATGTATACCGTATATTTGTAATATTATGTATGTTATTTTGTTCAAACTTTATGGCAGGTACTTAGCGTAGGTAGCGAGGCTGGTCCCCGGTCGGTACAGGTGACCTCTTGTGGCCCAGGTTGATGTCACCAGTTTCCAGTTACCCGATTTATAACCACTGATGCCGCCTCTTGCCACTGTTCTATATTTCTAGTATTCTATATTTATAATATTCACTTCCAACTTATATGTTGTTGTGATACCCGTTCCACATCACTGTTCCACGAATCACCGTTCACTATTTTTTTTTTTTTTTCCTAATACACGCATGTACACAAAGCCTTGTTCACTGGCTCACACGCGGTCTCCCGTTTATTCTCTATTTAACACAAAGTTCTATTGTTAATGACTATTTTCAATTTTCCAGCGGGTCACTATGTACTTTGTTATGTCTGTAATCAGTAATCCACGGCAGTAGTCCTAAGAATCCCTGTTAATGTCACGATTTTAACGGAGCGCGCACGGTACGTCTACCCCCTCCCTCGACCTTGACCTATTTACTGCTAGGTAACAGGGGCATCAGGGTGAAAGAAACACTGCCCATTTTGTTTCTGCCATCACCGGGGATCGAACCCGGACCCTAGGATTACGAGTCCAGAGCACTATACACTCAGCTATTAGGCCCCCCCCCCTGTGTCTGTATCTGAGAGTAGACTAACATATCTAATAAAAAAAATTGTTTTCCAGATTCAGGAATCCGGAGATGATAAGACGTTAAAGAAATCAAATGAAGCTAAGGATAATCAAAAGTCTAAGAAAGAAGATATTAATAAGGCCAAAGTCAAATTATCGTGAGTATCTGTGGTGAGATGAATAAGTATGTTATGTAATAAAATAAAGTTTAAATGGTTCACAATTGTAAACTTTTCTGAGTTATTACCTTCAGTTGCTCCCAAAGGTATGATCCACTATGTTACATGTCAGTAATCATGAACAGTTAGACAGGAATGACATTTCTGCAAAATCATTGTAGATGCTAAGGAGTCATTAAAAAACTATTTTGAGGTCAGAATGACCAATGGATAGACTTTCATAAAATGTTTAAATAATTTCCAAATGCTTATCTGCAACACAAGTGCTAATTGTTTGATTGTTTACTTACCTGGCTACCTAAGCTACACACTGCTGGTTGGCTGCACAATACCTATTTATTGACTCCCTGAATTGGACTGCATAATATTCTCACTGCTTTGTAATTACCTAAGTGTAGTTACAGGATGAGAACTACGCTCGTGGTGTCCCATCTTCTCAGTACTCCTTTCTGTGGGGAGCCCAATCAGCTCCCTGGAGCTGATATTAGCTATATTAGTCTAGGGCTTCAGTCATATGGAGTTCTTATGCCTACTGGGAACCATGAGCCAGAACCTGGTTCCCTCAGAGAGGCAAAGGGAGCAATGGCCTATGAAAACTCCACTCTTTGAGAGTTCAGACAACCACATGCTTTGCGAAACCACTCGGGCAAGTGTCCGCCAGGCCTTGCGGCCCGGTTGATGGGTGGGAGGTGGCTTAGTTCGCCAACTGACCTTGCCGGGCACCACTTTTGTGTCTTCTACCCTGTGACGTCACAGGTTCACAGCCCATTGTTTTGTTTTGTCACGAGACTGGAGTATTCATTCTGTAATTTTGTTGGATATACTGGAGACACGCGATTATCTGGAATTCGAATATCCGGAAAATGCCCTTATACGGACAAAATCGTGACCGGATAAAGTTATCTCAATATCTGGCCAAAATGTCCATGGGAACTGGAAAAATGGGTGTTTGGCCGGATAAAAAATCTGGGCCGGTTAACTTGCTGCATATGTTACACTATCTGGACAGTCAGCCGGACAAGGGGTGAATTGTCCGGATACGAAAGTCAGGCGGCGGACCGTACTGTATTAATCCCGTACGGCTGTGGCTTGAGGCGCCTGGCATAGGAGGGGGTAGGTGGGTGGTGTCGGGAGAGAGTGGAGTGTTGGGAGGGACCACCTGGGAAAGAGCATGGGGAGGAAAAAGGGGGATGTGGAGGGGCCTATACACTTCAGTACATGAATTACCATTAATTTTCTGTGGGAAGCCCCTACGGCTCCCTGGAGCTTATCGAGCTAATGTATGTTATATTAAACCGGGACATTAGCTAAGGAGTTCAGACCTACCAGGAACCAGCGCCAGAACCTGGCCCCTTCAGAGAGGTTTCATGGAGCAATGGTCCTGGAAAACCCCTTTGTGGTTGGGGTTTTCCTTATCTGCCATCGACCGGGGTTAGGCACCCAGAAAGGTAGGCATAACAAAACAAAACCCACATGGTAAAAAACAAACAAAAAACTGAACAGAGAGGTAGAAACTCCCTACAATCACATGGAAACAAGCAAACAAGCAAACATCACACTTTACTGCCGCACCAATCGTCCGCGCAGCCCTCCTCGCCCCGAGAGGGGGAGGGGGGAGCCCCGGACCTACCACGCCGGCTGCCAAGCTTCAGTTCGTTTGCTAATGTCAACCAGGATAGACGCTTCTCTGGCCTCAGTTTCCTAGGCGGCGTTTGCCTTGTGTGGCGTTCACTGCCCTGTGTTGTGTTGTGCGGTGGCCAGGAGTACCTCATCAGTGCCAGGGCTGCATGCGCTTACTGGCTGACTTCCCTAAGCGCCCTGTGAGTACTGCTCTTGCATAACAGGGTTATCTTCCCTGGGGCGTTCGGGAACCGTTCCCGTAGAGGTTCTTGCTGCTCGGCATTTGCCTCGCCTTTGGGGCCAGCTGGGGCTTGGGGCCCTTGTTTGGCCCTGGGTAGGGATTGGTATTGTGCTGGTTAGGGCGTCAAGGTGTTGCACAGCCTGCCACCTAAGCGGCGGCTGGTTCCTGTTGCCTCTGGTGACAGTGTACTTTTGCGGGGTTTTTCTTTTGTTTTTATTTTCATGCCTGGTGGGGGTCTGCCTAGTGTGGCTATAGTTCCACTGGTAGTGTTTGGTGGCCCTCTGCTAGGCCCCCGTGATTGTACACGTCGCAGGGGTTTTCAGTGCTATCCTCTTCCCTCTTGTTATGTTTGGGTCTCTTAACCGGTTAGCGACACCTTGCCCGGGCTTCCCATAGTTGTTACCCCTACGGGCCCTGGAAACCTCTGTCTGGGCTCGGGGGACCATTGAATGTGTCTTCTTCCGGGTTCCAACCCGTCTTGTACAGGATCATTGGTTGCTGTGCTCTTCTCTCCGGGTGACAGTCGCCATTTTTACCTCCGTCATGCTGCCTGTTGGGTCACTGACACCTTGACCCGGAGTCTTGCGAGAGTTTCTCTGCTTGTTCTCCAGTACTCTCCTGATGTTATTACTGTTCAGAGTACAGGCGGCATCCGTGTTGCAAGCTAGGTTAGGTTGCTGCAACATGCTAGATTGTTTTCCCACTCGGATGTCCTGAGGCCGCCCCGTTTTGGTTAGGTGCTGTTCGCCCCTTTCCCTCCCTGTTCCCGGCTCCGAACCATCTGCGGGTTTCGGGGTCGGGGCGAGGTTTAGGTGGGGCCGAGACTCGGGCGGTTTTCGGGGGCTGCCCCTTTCAGGTTGGGGAAGGAGGTTTTTGAGCTTGTTCCTCCTGCCAAGGCTTCTGAGTCTTACCAGCAGCCCTTTCTTGCTGCCTTTCCCATGGACTCTTCCTTTTCTTTAAGGGTGGAGGGCTTGGAGGACGGCTCTGCCCCGGGACCTCTGTTGCGGATTCCCGGGGCTGTGGGGGATGCCTGCTAGCAGTTCTGGGGCATATTACCCCTGCCTGGGTTTTCTGCTTCTGGGCTGAGTTTTTCGCCCATCCAGTCTGCTTGCTTCCCACTTTTGCTGGTGTGTTTTCGTATCTTTTGCGTCCGTCACAGCCCTCTGTTCTGATGGCCATTTTCTTCTGCCGGTTTCCCGGTGTGGCCACCAGGGCGGCATTGCAGTTTGTTTATATGCGCCTGGGTGTGCAAGCGAGCGTCTTGGGTGAGTTTTAAACCTTTTTCAGGGGTTTTATTCTCCTGTTGTCGTTTCTTTGCCTTTCTGGTGTTTTCTGCCCATTTTCTGTTTCTCTGGGAACGTTTGAGTGTTGATTTTCCACCGGGTTTTCCGTTTTCTCTGTTTTGGGTCTGAGCCCTTGGGTTTGGGCTCAGTGTCCCTGTCTGTTATGCTTGCTCCCACACCTTGTCCCTGCGTTTTTTGTCTGTTTTGACCGTTTCCCTGGGGGTTCTGTCTGGGGCTGTGCTTTGCCTTCTGTGGTGTATGTCCGCCGGCAAATGTGGTGGTTTGGGCTTCCCCTGGTTCGATTCCAGGTTCCTTTGGGTTCTTTGGTTTCGTTCTGGAGGTTTCTTCCTCTTGGGCCCCCTTTGTGGGTTCAAGGGGCTTTGTTTCCTCGTGTGTGACCCGGTTCTGCCTTTGGGAGTTCCGGGGTCTTCCTGGCTTGCAGACTGATCTTTTTGGGTCTTGGCACGTGTTGTTGTCGTGCTGGGACTTTGGGGTTTTGTTGTCGAGGTGGGCCTTTTGATGCAGTTTTGTGCCTTCTTTGCCTGGCTGGCGTGTGCTCTCTGCCCACTGGTCAGTGACTGTGTACTTTTCTTTTGCAATGTGTACTCACCTAGTTGTGTTTGCGGGGGTTGAGCTCTGGCTCTGTGGTATCGTATCATGTGTACATTCCTGTGGGCTCTATTATCTAGTGCACTTGTGTGTATGTGCCTCCACTATTCAGCTCATCACTGGTGGCAAACACAGTTTAGTCTTATGTGTGTGTGTACGCTACCTGTGTGTGTATGTGTATATGTAACATATGTGTATGTGTATATGTATGTGTATATACATAATGTATATGTATATATGTGTATGTGTATATATACTTTTTCTTTTGGAAGGGGCTCTGTTCCCTTCTCTGTTGACGGGGCACTGGAGGAGCAGCTTGCTCTGCTGACTCTCGCATGGTCCCGCAGTTAGTGGGCGCTTTTGGTGGTCTTCCGGCCTCTGGTGGCGGCAGTGGACGGTTTCTCCCCCTTTGGGGTAGTTCAGGGCTGGCGGGGTGGGCTTCTTCCCCTGCGCTTCGTTATGTCATCTTCGTGGATGCATTGGACGGGGTCGATCCACCCCATCCTTCTGGGGTTCCCGTCTGCTCTATGCAGACATGGGCCTGTCGAATCTTAGGTTCTTCTGGACTTCTTCAGTCTGCGCCCTGGATTCTATGCCCTCATCGGAGGACTGTTGTCTCCTGTCCGGCTTCTGTTGGGGCCGGGTGCCTGGATGGTGGCCCTGGACCTCCAGGTCAATTCTTGGCACGTTCCTCTCCAGTTTTCCAGGACTGGCACAGTTGGTGGTGGGGCTTTAGGCTTACCGCTTTTGTTGCTTTCCCTATTTTGTAATTAGCACTTGGTGTATTTACGCATCTTTAACGGATCTTGTTGCCTTGTCTGAGTCTGCTTGGGATTCGGTGTCTGGCCTACCTCGACGACTGGGTGGTGTGGGCTCCCAGTCGGTCCACTTGTCTGCTCGCCAGGGGTGTGGTTCTTTCCAGATCGACGGGTGTTGGTTTCCTGGTGATCTGGAGGCCGTTCCATTTGTTTCTGTCCCGGGTTCGGACCTGGCTGGGTCTTGTTTAGGGCTCTTGGGCCGCTCCTTTGTCTTTCCCTCCAGAAGTGTTGCTGCGGCTGTGGTCCCGCCTTCGGCTGTTCATGAGGGGGTTTCAGGTTGCTCAGCGGTTGCTCGAACAGTTTTGCGGGAGTCTGAACTTTGACGTGCTGGTCTGCCCGCGGGGTCAGGTTTGGCTTCGGCGTCTGTTTGGTTACTTCGGAGACTCCCCTTCCGCCTCTTGCAATCGT